GGGGCTTTAATAAACACGGGTTTACTCTTCTCCCCTAATTGCTCTAGAAATAGTCATTACTAATGCAATTTTCCACTAGGTATAGCGTATTTATCTAATGGGATTTGTTACAATATAGATAAAAAAAGGTTACTATAAATAACAAATTTTACCCTTTTTCATAACAAGTTAACGGTAACCTAATCCTTAAAATTTATTTAACTAAAAAAACTTTTTCTTTGTAGAAGCCTTTAATTTATTACAATATGAGATAAAGTATAGAGAAAAAAAGAATCTAACTTTTTTGTCCATTATAGCTTTAAACAGAACACTTAATAAACTAAATACAGGTACACCTGTCTCACATGTGATAAATAAAGGTAGAATATTAGAAACGAACTCTTCTGGTTCAAGTTCCTCTAATAAATCTTCAGCTACATCCCTGGACTCTTTTAAACTTTCTTTTGCTACCTGAACTGCATCTATAACTCTAGCTTTTAAATCCTCCGCAGTATCCTCAGAAGTACCTTCGGTTGTTTTTGACTCTTCTATTTCGTTTGTTAATTTAATTTCTTTTTGATCCAAGTCCCGCATGAGATTATCTGATATTGATCTAACGTCTGCCGCGGTACCATTAGATTGCATTTTTAATTCAGTTGCACCTGGACCTTTCTCTGCTTCAAATTGCTCAACTTTTTTTACAATATTTCCAGAAAATGCAGACGATGTTTTCATTACAGTATTTATATAGGTACTGCTTCTAAAAAGTACTAAAGATAATGATATAAGTAGTAGTACTATAAAATTAGAACTATTAATATATGAATTAAATAAAATATAAACGATTAACCCTATTAAGATATATAAAGCATAAGATGTTATAACTCCAGTATTTAATCTAGCAATATTATTACTTATATTCAATAGTCCTTTCTCTAGCCCATGAGGTCCTACATACTCTACGGATCCTTTATCTAATACTTTAGTAGTCTGTCCACCCATTATTAGTATTATACCAGTAATATATCTGTTATAAAATAGCTCTATTAAGAAACGTTGATTAAAGAAACTAAATATGTTGTAACCTACTCTAGATAATTTAAAATAAATTAGTATAGTAGATAAGTATTCAGATAACACTATAGCAATTACAGTTAATGAAATTGTAAATAGTAAAGGTAATAACTTAAATAGAGTTGGTACTCCAAATTCAGTATCTAACATTATCTCATGAGAAGGGTGTATAAATAAAGCGTTATCTGAAAAGAATCCTGAACCCAGTCCTATAAACATATCCTTTGTTATAAATCCAAAGAAGATAGAGAATACAGCTAAAATCATTAAAGGTAAGCTCATAAATATATCACCTTCATGTGCTTGTTTATAATTGATTAAGGGTCCATTAGGGTTAGTTAAGAATGTTAAATACAACACTTTTACAGAATATAATGTTGTAAACATTGCTCCTATAGTAGCTATTATATAAACAACAGTACCAGAGAAATGATATTGACCGTAAGCAGATTCAAGTATAAAATCTTTTGAATAGAATCCTGTCATAAATGGGAATGCTACTAAGCTTAAAGAAGCTATAAGCATTACAGAATAAGTAAGTGGTAAAAATGGCCTTAATCCCCCATATCTTCTAAAGTCTTGGTTATCAGCTACAGCATGAATTACTGCTCCAGCTCCTAAGAATAAAAGTGCTTTATAAAAAGCGTGATTAACTAAATGAAATAAAGCTATATTATAAGAAGATAAACCTACAGCTATAACCATCATACCCAATTGACTCATAGTAGAATAAGCTATAACTTTTTTAATATCTTGTTGGAATAAACCTATAAGAGAGCTAAATACTGTTGTAATAGCACCTAATCATAAACATAACATTAGTACAGTTGAACTATATTCAATTAAAGGAGATGAACGCATTAATAGATAAACTCCCGCAGTAACCATTGTAGCAGCGTGTATTAATGCAGATACAGGTGTAGGACCTTCCATAGCCATAGGTAGTCATACGTGTAGTCCTACTTGAGAACTTTTAGCCATAGCTCCTATTAATAGACATACACCTACAATAGTTACAAGATGTTCATTCATGTAGGGAGCTAATGAGAATACAGTGGCATAATCTAGATTACCAAATCCTAATAATATAGCAAACATACCTATAGTTAAGAAGCAATCACCTACTCTATTAGTTAAAAATGCTGAAAGAGAGCTTTGATTTGCTGCTATTCTAGTAAATCAAAAACATACTAAAAGATATGAACAAACTCCTACACCTTCTCAACCTACAAACATTAATAAATAGTTGTTTGCTGTAACTAATATAACCATCATGAATGTAAATAAGCTTAAATAACTAAAGAACCTTTGGTTATGAGGGTCATGGCTCATATAACCTATTGAATATATATGTACTAAAGAAGAAACGATTAAAACAGGTATAAGCATAGAAACTGTTAGTGAATCAAAATTAAATGCCCAGTATACATTTAATGATTCAGAATCAATTCAT